AATAAGGCTTGTGCGGACGGTTCTCCCCGTCCGCACTCCGCACCTAAAAATCTCTCGTGTGCATAGGAGGAGAAATTATTACGTGCGGAATTTGGATATAGAGTTATCTCCGATTTCTAATAAAAATGTGACACATATTTTTGTAGTCTGTATAAATTTATACACAATGTGTATAATTATGTACATAATGTGTAAATTATTTATATGTACATATTACAAATATAATTTTGTAATTTATGCATAATGTATACAATTGAACACATTATATACAAGGACATGTGTTGCATTTTTATTGGAGTTTGAACGTATTCGGACTCCGTGTGAGAACCTTTGGATTTTAGATTTTTTTTGTGCAGTTAGTCTGTACAAACTGAATAAGTGCAGATTAGTCTATATGAACCGTCAGTACGAACATAACAAATTGGAGGTTCGTCTGTACGAACCGGAATTCATCTGTACGAACTGAGCAAAAAATTTTGACTAAGCCCTTCGTCAAGGAACGAAATCAATTATTATCTGTATGATTTGTGTACAGTGGAGTTCCTCCCTAGACGAACGAAAAACAGCGTCCGTACGAACGTAAATATCTTTTCTCTATTTATGGACCATTTGACATGTTTTGAAGAGAGAGAAAATAGGAGAGAGAGAAAGATAAGGAAAAAGAAAAAAAAGCTTGATTTCGAAGGCCGTGGAGCGATTTTTGTCCATCGATGCAGTTGGAAGAATTGTTCGTCTCGCAGTAAGGAATCCATATCCTATTTCTGATTATGAAGATTTCATGTTTTGATATTTTTCTGCTCAGATTTGTGTTTCCGTTACAAAAAAAAACGTGCATATATTTGTATTGACGAAACTTTTACAGTGTAACTTTTGGTCAGCCATAGAGATTATGATTTTGCACGTTTTGAGTATTTTTTGGAAATTTTTCACCGGGTATTCTGAATTATGCGGGGTTTTTATCGAATAGAAAATTATCATGATGTTGAAAAATATAGCTTCAGTTCAATAAAAGCTTTGAAATAATGTTTTACACGAACTCTAATAATTTGGTAATTTTCTAAAACTGTGCATTTTACAACGACGACATATGTCTACATTACGATATTTTAAGGGTTTTCTAAATTAAGTTAAATTATATCTGTTTGACGCAATGCATTGATGAGATGTAAATGAATGTGGATATATGATTGAAATTACTATTACATTATTGTGATACTACTGTGTGTGTGTGAAAGACAAGAAAAGACTGGTTGAACCGTTGGTTGGAGACTGATTGACCTGTACAGTATGGTGGGCCGACAGGCTTTCCTTTAAATATGATTTGGTATTATCCTCTACTGATTCACGTGATACTGATTGAGAGTTATAAGGAGATTATTACTGTGCGGACGGGCAAAGAATGACGACTCTAATTACTGAGCCAACAGATAATGATATAAGATACTAATACTGATACAAGACTGAAAAACACCGTAATAGCCAGAGCTTTTACTTGTTGAGAGTGATTATTGAAAAGCATGTATTTCATTATTGTCATTACAGTACGAATTTATTACTACTGTACGGATTTACTGATATTATACGGATTTACTGTTACTACACAATTTCACGGTTATAACATGACATGAAAACCCGACTCGAACCCGACCCGTTTTAAAAACGGGTCGGGTTCGGGTTCGGGTTCGCAGATTCAACCCGTTTGAAAAAATGGGTCTGGTTCGGGTTGATCTGGCGGGTTGCCGGGTCAACCCGAAAACCCGTTTAACTTAAAAATTTTGGGTTGACACCCCTACTTGGCCCTTGTTCCAGTCAGACGAAAGCACGCCTAACTCCCCACACCTGGTCCCTCATGTAGTCACGGCAGGCCAGCTGTTCGCCACTCGAGAGTCAGCTAGAAAAGATTGCATTTAAGACTTTAATTAGCATATTAATTATCACAACCCGACCCGACGGGGATGGATCCCGCCCGAGCCGGATCCCGACCAGCTTAACAAACTAACCAGGATCTGGCTTTGGAATTTGCTTACTGAACTGAATCTTCCAAATATTATACAAAACAGACCAGAGCTACTAAAAATATCAAATGCAGCGGAACGAATCATCTATATTTTTTA